TGAATTTAGAAGCTTAAGAATATTCGAAAAGTTTACAGAAAGATTTCTACACATGCGTGGTTAGATTTTCCGCTGAAACAAAGCAACACACATTTACGTAAATTCTGTATGTACAATAAATACAAAAAGGATAGCGCGATTGCATCAGTGACGATCGTCTCAACGTTATCGACATTTTCGAAATTCGTTATTGATTTCAGCATCCCCTTAAGTCACGTCATTCACCACATTTGAGAGAGGATGTGTAGTTTATAATTCAATTTATTTGAAAACGTGCCAAGTGACCGCTTAAAGCGGCGAGAAACGTGCGAAAAAAGATAACATACAGCCAAGATAACATACTTGGATTTGCAGCGCGGATAGTTTTGTAGCCGATAAACTTCCCGCCGAGTTTATCGCAAATTTGTCACGCTAAATATTATTTCGGAAACGGCGGTCGACTTAATTGTTGCGTATCGACATGGAAATTGTGGCTATCTAGGGGGCATTTGATGCGCTATCGAGAATCGCGCGCTGCGCAATTCCAGCCACATTAAATTATTACAGTGCATTAAATTGTTACACCGCATTAGATCGCGGAGTATGAGCGCGCGACGAGCGCGCAATTTCGCGCCACAGGCCGCATTAAGCGCTTTGAGGCACGCTTCGTTTAATTAGCGGAGGCGGCAAAAGAAATTGCCCGCCGCCGCACTTATTTGCAAGCCGGATTGCGCTCCGCGGTCGACTCTATTTCGGTAGCTCGCAGGGATCGATCGGCCATCCATTCTATGGCGCGGATATCGCATCCGCAAACTTTATTTGATTGATGTTCGAAGAGCTTATTTTGGCGTTGCTATATTTACCGGCGATACCGCATCGTGAACTTGCCCACATTACCAGATCCGTAAACATGATGGAAATGGCCCATATTTCTAAAAGTGTTCTTAGCTGGGAATATCCTGCGAACGTCTGGATTTATTGCATCAATGCAGATCTTTAGTGAGTCGCGAATGAATTTGACATTTCCTCAATAAATCTCAAATGAATTTGACTCCGCGGCGAACTATTCATTTGATCCTCGTGTCTCGGGATATTAAATGTTGAGAAGACGATTGTCCATCAAATTTTCATTAAAGAAAAATTTGAGAAAAACGAAGAGAATGTAATTGAGTAAATTAGAATAGAATTTATCATCTCACCGTGTGGCTGAGAGCTTGTACAAAACGAGAGAGAGAGAGAGAGAGAGAAAGAGAGAGAAAGAAACAAAATATCAAAGATATATAATCAGATTGGACATAACAAAGAGTAAGCAAAAAATGTTCCTCTGAATGTTTTTCATAAAAGAAATTTCGAATACTAAGATGTAAATGACAAGATATATAAGAGCATATAAATAAATAAATAATAGTAATGCTACAGATATATAAAAATAAAAAGAATTATGAAAACTATAATAATAAGTAAATAAATAAACCTGTCAAACAATAAAGTAGACATTCGATTTCTAAGGTATAAAGCTATCCAGATAGCAGGATAATGTAAAATAACGTATTGTTGACACGTTAGAAACGTCAGTAATACGTCACTAAAACGTCATTTGTCGTCATTATATTTGTTGGATAACAAGGCAACCAACGGAATCAGCTCTATGCTGATCCATTTCTATCTTGAGAGAAAGAGAGAGAGAGAGAGAAAGAGAGAGAGAGAGAGAAAGAGGGAAGATATGTATGTGTTGGAGAGATAAATATAGGTGGACACGTGTGTGTATGCAGTGATAGTTTTGCGATGTCCTGCGTATCGCAGGATTTAAAAGATCTAATGAGTACGAGTCGCACCTGCGTCGCAGGAAATTGTATACTCCGTTGGCGTGCGAGTATTTGCAAGCAGGCCCGCGAATATAAGCGACTCGATATATGTATGTACGGCTCGGCCTGTTTATCGATAAACTGGCGACGCGCAAAATGCACAGCGGCGATTTGCATTCCGCGCAATTGCTCGGTGGCGGGGTGGCCGACGCCGAAATGTCGCGGCGTATTTGCGTTTCGCCGAGCTCGAGCCGCGGGCTCGTTCACAATTAGGAGTAATGTCGAGCGATCTCGCGCTGTTTGTTATCCGAGCAAACGCGTCGTCCTATCGTCGCTCTCTCGTGCGCGCGCGTTGTGCTAAACGCTGCACGAAGAATTCCCAGCGCGAATACTCGTCACTATACGCGCGCCCGCTCGTTCGCGCGAAATCAGTGTCGCTGGTTTTCGAAGCGGATCGAAAGTTCGCGGCGCAAAACCGCCGGAAAATCGCGCGACACTGTTTGCGAGACACGTCCGGTAAATCGAAGCAATTAAAACTCTCTCCTGCTACCCCCCCTCTCTCTCTCTCTCTCTCTCTCTCTCTCTCGCTCACACACACACACACACACGTATGCATACCCCGGTCGCGGCCAGAAGGGATTCATAAATCAATTCTCGCGATAGAACGCGCGATTGTGCTTAGGGGCGAAAACGTGATTCAATTCGGTAACATAATTGTTCGGCCAGAATTGTCGAGAGCCCGCGCGTTCGAATTAACGCGCGCACGACGGGCGCACGGCGCGCTATGTTGTTTCGTTTTGACAATTCGCTGCGTTCTCTTTCTCGCGCGTCCGCATTTTACGCCAACCGACATGCGTCATAATTGCCAATTATTCGCAATCGCGCGCGAATATTAATAACGTCGCGGTCGTATTTCTGGACCAGGCGAAGGCGTCATTCGCATAATAAAACACTTCTCTCTCTCTCTCTCTTTCTCCCTCTCGCTTTCTCTCTTTCTCACTTTCTCTCACTCTCTCTCTTTCTCTCTCTCTTTCTCTTCTGTTCTTTTTCTTTCTTTCCCTCTCTTCTTTTTCTCCCTCTGTCTAGCCATTTCTCTTTCGCGTACGAGGTACGGAGTTCGAAACCAGTCGGATTTTTGTTCCAAGGTGTCGATATACCTGACTTATGGTGATCCTAGTGGCCGACACTCTGTGTATTCCCTTTTCTCATATAAAAGTGCCGTCTTGGTGGTGTTGCTGCTGCCAGTGCTGCTGCGATCTTCAGTGTGCACAAGCGCGGCGACGAGGCGCATATATTTCCCAAGTGGCGCGTGGGATAAAGAGACGACCAAAGACTCGTTGCCGAGGAAGCGGCCAGTTTATCTGGCGCCATCATCTTAATTTTCTGTTACCACGTACGTAATATCGTCACCCGATATTCCGCGGCCGGTATCGCCGACGTGATCTTTATTACTGACATTACGAACCATCTTAGGGGACGTTATCTTTTAACGACGGCGATACAGAATCGTTAGGGACTGTAATGACAAATTTCAGACGCCACCATGAATACAGATAGCCCATCCACATATTTCATATTTGTATGCAAATGATATTATTTTTATGTCACGATACATCTCCCGAGACATTGTATAGGAGAAAATTGAAGCAGCGAGGCTGGAAAAATGATAGTCGCAGACGCGGCTTCGCGAAAGACGCGTTCACGGTTGCCGTAAGAAGGGTTACAAAAATACCGTAAGATCATACTTAAAATACAGATATACCTTTCCCTTTTCCAGAACAAACTCAAGCAAAAAAATTTCCAAAAAAACTGGTCAGATTTTATTGATTAAGATTTACTAGACAGTAACTGTTCAGAAACTAGTCAGTAAAATACTTGCCAATATTTCAGTTACTAGGCCCTGAAAGTGGGTAGTAAAAAATAGTTAATAAATGCTGGACAGTTTCTGTTTAGCGAAAACTCAAAAAATATGGCCAATGTTTTATTGTTCTTCAATGTTTCTGGTCACTTACTGGCTAGAAATTAGACAAGAAAAAATAATAAGTAAAAATAAAGCTGTGACTATCTCAATATGAATGAGTTTCCAGATTAAAAAAGACTTCAGTTTCTGAAATACTAGTTTCACATTATTTTTAATAATAATATATAATATTTCACACAACGTGTAGAATCGGATGATGCAAACTATTTGATAGAACTTTGTGCGAAAAAGGTTTGATTAGAAATTCGTCAAAAACTGATCGGAAACTGATCAGAAACTAAATAGTTTTACTATCCAGTCACTGGTGAGACAAGTGTCGTCCAAACTGGCCAGGAACTAGTCGGTAATAGGGATTCCTGGCCAATTATTGACTAGAAACTGGTGAATTTTCTATACGGTGGAGATACAACCCCTCGCTTTGTTTGACGTCGACGTAATCAGCAATTAGACGAGAGCTTCGTTATCGAGAGATCGGACCGGGGCAGAATGGGGGAAAAATGTCTCTGTCGCGGAATATTTCCGAAAAAGACGCGGGGCAGTCGATTTTCCTAGGGATTCCTAGGACGAAATTTCACGTCCGTGAGGGTTAAGTAGCTGCTGTAAAACGCACTGTAAGCGCTTTGTGACGACACAACGTTGGCCGAAGCTTCGGCCGAAAGAAGAAGTGCTCGGCGCGGTCGCCTGTTAAAACGTAAGCAGCTCACGGAAAGCTGCTTACGATACTCGAAACGAAAGGCAGTGCGATGCTGCCGGGACGGGAGGCGGAGCGGGGCGAGGACGAGGGAGAGAGCGAGAGACAGAGAGAACGACAGAAAGCTCCCTTTCTGCTTGTTCGCCAAATGACAGTCTGTCAGCGTGTTTCATTAGCGTGAGCCGCACGCGACTCACTAATGACGCACTCGCACAAAGGGACCGCAGTATAACGGCGAGGTAAGGCGATTGAATTGTGCGAGTGATATGATATATATATATATATATATATATATATATATATATATATATATATGTGTGTGTGTGTGTATATACACCACGTTATTTCTCTATCCTGCGAGAACACGCGCTTTCGGTCGAGCCTAAAAAAAGATGTCCTTTGTGACGTTGCGCACGCGATCAATTAGAGAAATTAATTCGTGGAAAACTGTCCGCCCACGCGGCGAATGGCAAAATGTTGTCAACGCGGCGTAAAGCGGATCGTCGCATCGTGACTGATCGAAGCTTTGCGTTATGGATTACAGTTCACCCGATGGTCCAGGTACCGAACCAGCTGGTCGGCGCCCCGACCGGAACCAACGTCACGTTAGTCTGCCACGTGGAGGCGTCACCCAAAGCCATCAATTACTGGACTCGAGAGTCGGGTAATACAGCGTAGTTCTTGTTGCTCGATTCGCTCGGAATTAAGACCTCTTATCGGTTGACTCGATCGTCGAGTACTTTATAACAGCTCGCGGAATAAGACTTTCCACGCGCGTGCATCGAGATTCCTCATCGTCCGTGAGAAGTAATCTCGATCGATAGAGGTACTCGTCGAAGAATGAGGCTTTCTGCTTCTCGTCTTTCAATCTCACGTCTGGTACCGTGGATTATAAAGCTGCGTCTTAAGGACTCACAGAAAAGCTTAAACAGTAAGACGTAAACAGTAAGCAAACTGATCAATCACAGTCGCTGATTCTTGAACCGTAAGAAGAATCATCGACTGTCATTGGTCAATTTGCTTACTGCTTACGTCTTATTGCTTGAGTTTTTCTGTGTATCCGGATCCTTACTACGTTTTGCGTTTACTTATTGCTTTTCTTCGAACGTGTTTCCGCAGGCGAGATGATAATCAGCAACAGCAAGTACGCGATGTCCGAGACGAAGACGTCGGTGTACAGCGTACAAATGCGGCTGGTGATCATGAACCTGCAGAAGCAGGACTTGGGAGGTTACAAATGCATCTCGAAGAACTCCATCGGCGACGCCGAGGGGAACATCCGGCTTTACGGTGAGTTTTTTGGGGGAGCGTAATGCGCGGCCTCTCAGTAAGGGTGAAAACGCGAGTCGTAAAGTCTCACTGTGCGTGGTGGAGCTTCCGGAAAGTAGCGATATATTCGAGTTACTTTGAATAACTAATCGCGAAATATATTAACCTCTCAAAGGCCAATTATTGCCAGAGTTGGATAAGTTGATAACTAAATCAAGAGTAAAGTTAACGACTTATAAAATTAACCTAGTTAAATTACAAAAACTAACTTAATTTTTAAAAGAGTTAAAATTAGATTAACTTAAAAATTAATTAATGTAAAACAGAATGTATGCTTTTTGCATAATTAACTTTTTCAGCGCAATGTTGCAAATTCCGAAACAAATGTTCAACCATACTCCAAGTTAAATGTAACTTAACTACTATTTTTTAGTAGAAATTGCATTCTGTACTTCCGCCCGACGCGAATGCGTTTTAACGTACAACGGCCGTAAGTTCGGACTTTTAAAAGCGAGAGTGTTTTTACGTTCTACGAAAGCCCTAAACCAACCTTGAGTACGGGACGCGTGTACTTTAGCGCCGCGGTCGAGAAAGTATGGCGTATCACTGCGACACCGCTGTTTCCATTACACGCGCGATTTAATACGTCGCAATCTCCGCCGCAGCGATCGACGGCAACAATCTTCTCGCGCGTTACGCAACACGGCGCTATTTTTCTTGTCACCTCGTAGCGACACGTTGCCGCAAGAATAGCGAGCGGCTGGGTTTGTGTATAAAATTAAACGTCGTCGCGCGAGAGAAAGCCGTTAGACAGCATGGATGCGAGAATCAAGAGTCGTTTTACAGAAACGTAAAGCGCTTTACGACGTGCGCATGTATACTAAGTCGCAAAACGGTTTGCATACTTTTTCTCGGATGAAATTGCAACGCTTCAAGTTACCATAATTAAAATCCACTGCAGATGTGCATGCGCAGTGATCGGTTATGACAGGAATCGAAGTGACAGTATAGGGTGTAATAATAAATTTGGAGAAGAGAGAGGGTTATACAGGGTGTCCGGTAACTGACCGAGCAACCACCATGTACGGGTAGAACGGGTCAAAATAATCAATAAAAGTTATATACCACTTTGAAATTTTCTCAATATTTATTTCGTAATTAATTAAAATGTATAAACGAATGAGCGCACGAGAAGCGGCAGGACAGGCTCTGTGTGTAAGACCTACATTAGTTGTAAGTTTCAAGATCGCAAGAAATTTGACCAATCACAGTCAATTCTTCTTTGGTCCTAAGAAGAACGATCGACTGTGATTGTTAAATTTTCTTACGATTTTGCGATTTGCTACTAATGTAGAACCAGCTTAAAAGAAATAGCTTATCTCTTAGCAACGATGAGTAAACAGCTGATTTCAAGGCGGAGTAACGTATACGTGTCGCTTGTTACTCCGCCTCGAAATCAGCTGTTTACGCATCGTTGCTAAGAGGTAAACCATTTCTTTTACACACAGAGCCTGTCCTACCGCTTCTCGTGCGCTCATTCGTTTGTACATTTTAATTAATTACGGAATAAGTATTGAGAAAATTTCAAAATGGTATATAAATTTTATGATTATTTTGACCCGTTCTACCCGTACACGGCAGTTGCTCGGTCAGTTACCGGACACTCTGTATATACAGGGTGCTCTAGAACAACCTTCGAAACTCTTGTGGAGGCAAAAGATTAAGATGAATATAAATGTCCTATACCGTTTTGTGATATTCGCAATAATTATTGAGATATAAAGAAGATTTGTGAATGATCACGCGAGAGATGAGCTGTAGTAGCGACATCTGCCGTGCGTTTGTACATTAAGTCAAACTATACCAAAAATTTGATTTAAAAATTTTACTATATATAGTAAAAAAATATAAAAGAATGATTATTTCGAAATAATATATCTTTAAATTAAATATAAATTAGTTTGATTAGTTTTATATCTTATAAAGTAAGCTAATGTGAGATAATAAATTGAATGCATGCCAGAGTAGAGTGGCTCTTAATTATGACAACTTGAAGAGCTATAACTTCTATCAATAAAAAGTATACAAACCGTCTTGCGACCGAGCGTTCACTGTCCAGAGTACAGAGAGGAAAGTAGAAGTATTTGTTAATTTTTATCAGCACTCTCTGCTGCTCCACTTGGTGCAACTGTGATTGCGCAACAAAGAACGAAAAAAGAGCGATCCGGTATAGCAACTGCGAGACAGCAAAGTGTATCCAACAGGGGAATATTTTACGTTATAAGCTGCATGTAATCTTTCTAACGCTGCCTCGTCGTTTCGGTAATCTCAAGAATTTATCTCCGAAGAAACCGCACACCACCAGCCGACACTACAAAGATATCGGTATTCGCAAAATTAAGTTTCCTCTCTTTCTCTCTCGAGTTTTACTATTTAAGATATTGGAAACCGGCGCCCGGGAGACAGATCGGAATTTCCGCAGTTTCTTAGCCACGTCTCCGTCGTAACCGTAAGTTATTTCACGGCGCAGATAATATTGTACTTTCTGTATAATATTTATGGAATTCGCTTCCCCATTGTGTGTCCGCGAAATACCACCACCGACCGCGCCGGTACGTCCATGAAATACTTGAGTCAGTAATCTTTAAAATGTCTTTACGATATCGGTTAAAACATGATTACGGCCCCGCCCTCCTCCCTTGCTCTCCTCTTGGAAAGCTCCTCGCCCACCTTTAACATTCTTCCCGCGTTTAAGCCGTCGTTCTGTAGTATTAACCGTATCTTACACGTCCCATTCCGTGCCGATAACAACACGATGAGGTATATACAGGATATCATAATTTTGTTTCAAAAGAAACAACTATCAATTGTTAATCGATAACCACGAAGGCCCATGTATTAAGAGGATATTTGAAAATTTTGTTCCGACAAAATATTGATTTTTTCTGTAAAGTTTACACGCGCGTTGTATTAGTTTCACAAAATTATAAATGCTTTTACGTAACGAAAATATGTGCAAAAATGAGTTGTTGCTTTGCTCAATATGTGATGAAAACGATAAGAAATTTCAAAATTAATATTCCATTACGCTTCACTCTTTCTTTTGTTTTCCCCTGCGTTACCCTCTCCTACAGTAGTGTATGACAGAAAAACTCTCACTCAACATAAAAAACTCAGATGATGAGAGTGGAAAACTCACTCTGTTTTCCACTCTCATCATCAATAGCCTCATAAGAACGCGTAAAATTTCATGAGACAAATTTCTAGTAATTTTGTGATAAAATATTAAATTCCTCTTGATTTATTTAAACTATTATATTTCTCTCTTATCTCATAGCAAATATAAATTAGATATATCTCGTGTGTTCTATTTTTCAAAATTCTTCAAAAAAACAAATAGTAATAAAGTGAAAAGAAATTTGAATATGCTTATTTAAAAAAAAAAAGAATCTCACTCGGGACGAATCGCACAGTATCACTCGGACGTATCTTCAATCATCACTAAAGAGATTAATACAGTTCTTAAACTTGATTTTAAAGTTGGAAATTAATTGAATCACCATTATGAATATGATATCATATTTATAACGTGTATCATATTTAACTGGAAAACTCAGATCCGACTCTAATTTCCAATCTGAGTATTCCACAAGTTTCAAGTAACGAATATCTCAATACCGAGCCTGAGAATTTACGGGTTTTTGAAACAGTAAAACTAACACGTACCTCCGATTCATTTTCCCAGAAAGAAGCAACCGCGACCTCGAGATTTTTAAATCCTGTTAGAAAGTCTCGCCACGAGGAGACCCCAATTCTTTTCGAAATTTAAAATTTATATCACGACCAGTCGCGCACGTAACAGCAAGTGGAAACTGGAATGCGCATAATTAGAGCGGCTAAAAAATCCCAATAGCGGCGACGCGCGATCCCGCACGATACGACGCGGCGAATGACGCTGCCGCGAGCGCAATAAGTCGTCACGAGTGCTGCCTCATAATTCCTGGCGCTGATTGAACGTTACGATCCGTTTACGACGCGTATGCAGGTGCCCCGTTTACTGCCGAAATACGGAAAAAAAGAGAGAGAACGGTGCATTTTCGCGGGTGTGTGACGCGGCAGCAACAGCAGCCGCCGACGACGAGGGCGACGATGCCCTCGCCGGTGTCATCAGCCGTAAATGCGCCCATAACTTCCCGCTTACTTCCCCGGAGCGTCCTTATTTTTTCACAGTTTATTTACCGGATTCCATCACATAATTTTCCGCTTTATAGCGCGAGGAAAAATCCAGTGTAGCTGAGAACTGCGCGCGCTTCTCGCGGATAGCGCGGCGCGCGATGTAATCAACTTACTTTACGCAACAAATTCCTTTCGCACTTTTCCGTTCATGATGACGCGACACCGCGGATGATGTGTTAATTGAATCACCGTGGAAGAACCGAAGCAAATGAGATCTCGCGCGGAAAATAGAATAGATCTCGCTTATCAAAAATGGCGCGGCCCAAATTAAGCGGTCTGTTTCGGCCAATCTCCAAAACCATTCGTCACGTGACGTACCTTGCAAAACGGAAAATCCGTTTTGGCGGAACGGTGACAGTCCAATTTTGTCGTAACGCTGAATGCAATGATATTTCTGCTACATTGTTTAACGACATCTGTCTGACTCGACCAATATCACCGACGTATCGCAGATTATACATCACAATAGAAAATTGATATAATGTACTTAACAAACGTGACAAATACGATTCGCTGTCTCTGTACTCGATTTATAATTTGGGATACGATGTCGGTCGAATTTTAAATAGCCGTAATGACGTTGGAATAGAAGAGTATGTCACGGCATCATCTCTCTTTTTGTCTCTGTCTGTGATATCGATTCTGATTATTGATGAAGATCGTGATATACAGTGTTTATGTGCCCGCGCGCTATTTATGTGCGCGTGCACAAATGTTGTATTTCTAATCAAAATAGCAGAATGGACACGAACGCCCGACAGGGGCATTCCCTGCCGCGTAATTAG